CCCCCCCCCCGAGTTGGAGTCTCACTCTGTCGTCCAGGCTGGAGTGCAGTGACCGCTCCCGGCCACCACAGCCTCGACCTGCTGGGCTCCAGTGATCCTTCCGCCTCAGCCTTCCAAGTAGCTGGAAACTACAGGCGCACACTACCACACCTGGGTAGTTTTTTTGATTTATTGTAGAGATGAGGTCTCGCCAAGTTGCCCAGGCGGGTCTCGAACCTGTGGTCTCAGGCAATCCACTCACCTCGGCCTCCCAAAGCGCGGGATTACAGGCTGAGCCACCGCGCCAGCCTGAGGGCTGACTTTCAATGGATCACAGCGAGGGACTGAGTGGGTTTCTGGGAGTGTTGGCAGTGAGGGCCAGGAAAACCGGTGTCAGGCAGTACAGGCTGAGGGAGTGGACCTAGGGGTGGTTAGGTGATGGGGCACAGCGGCTGCTTCGGGCTCCAGGGCTGGGTCTGGGATTTGGCAGGGCCCTGAGGGCCCTCACACACTTACATGGGGCTCCCTCACCCAGCACTTGCATTTCCCTCCACATCCTCTGTGGGGGACCTGAGCCAGGACACACCAGATGCCAGCATCTCCCTCTGGGGCTCAGTGAGGTGTCCTGGAGTCCCCCTCCCCCAGTCACTGAGGACCTTGGGAACTGGCTGAGCCGACACCCACAGGAAGGGCTCTCTCCACCCCTTTCTCCCCACCCTCCTTGGCTGGTCCTGAGGGCTGTGTCTGGATTCATAGTCGGGCCTGACTCTATCTCTGCCTTTTGTTAACCAAGTATTCCTGAACTGGTCACTTCATGCCTCAGTTTCCTTGTTGGTGAGATGGGTGATACCAGTCCCTGCCTCTGGGGTCAGTGATGACAATAAATGCTCCTGTTTTGAGGGAGCTCTGCTGGGTTTCAGTATCTTGCTCAGTGTAGCCTGTGGCAATGGTGTGGAGGGAGATGTGGGGTGTCAGTGCCTCGCATGGAGCTGGCCTATAGCAGTGGCCCAGGAGCTGTGCTGGGCACTGTCGTAAATCCTGTGATGGGTTGAGTCCTAGGGCTGTCCTCCTGCTCCACCACCTTGAAACTGTTTGAGGAAGGCTCAGGTGAGAGAGTAAAACCCAGACCCTCCCAGCTGGAATTTGGCGATGTTACTATTACAAGGGAGGGAAACCTGGAAACCACCTAGTCCAGTCTCCTTGCAGTACAAATAGAGAAACTGAGGCCCAGACAGTGGCTACTTGGTCAGCTGAAGGCTACACTGGGCTGAGTCGTAGGTCTCCACTCTCTAGGCTTGGACCCCTTCCTCATGCTCCCTGGGTTCACAGATGAGGAAATGGAGACTGAGAAGAGTAGGGACTTTTGCCTCCATTGAGCTGGTGACAACCTGCCTGGAAGCTGCCCAGTCAAAGGCTTAGGCTTGGCTGAGCCATTAGGAGCCTCACAGCCTTTCCTCAGGAGACAGAGTGAGGATGCTGCCTGACCCTCACCCCCAGTCATGGTGATGAGGCCAGGTATGTGCAGAGAACAGGCTCTGGTGGCTATAAGCTCCTAATGGGCAAGTGGCAAGCAGCATTGGGAGTGTCTTCACAGCCACCTGGAGTCCGTGACTCCTCCTCGGGCAGCAGGAAGGGTTGGGTGTTACAGTCACACTGCCAGACTTCAGCACCCCAACTCACCCTCTCCCACTCAGTGGTTAGACCAGGATGGCCCCGAGTTCCTGAAGAGCCTGGGAACAAGGGCAACCACAAGGTGGCGGGTCCTGGAGGGTAAGCGTGGGTCTTTCTTCCTGCAGACAGCCCTCAGCGCCTTTTTCCAGGAGACCAACATCCCCTACAGCCACCACCACCACCAGATGGTAAGTGTTCCCTGGAGCCCCAAGGGGCATCCCCGCTGGGGTCTCCAGTCCTGGGTGGGGAGGGAGGAGACTAAGCACTTGGTTGCATAGGCAGCCCTGCCAGGTGGAGGAGCACGCTGTTGCCCATGGGGCTGGAGCTCCTTGGAGATGGGCCCACAGGTGTCAGGGCTCACTGGACTTCCACATTCAGTCCTGTCGGTGCCACTTCCCTGTGAGACCTGGGAACCTGGTCTCTGGAGCGCAGCTTCCCAGCTGAAAAGCTGGTTGATGGCGCGTGCCTCTCAGGCCCAGAGCTGCTGTGGATAGAGGCCTCGCCAGGCAGTGAGGGTGGGTCAGCTCATCTCGGGCCTTTTCTCTGTGAGCCCCTGGGCGATATACTGACTGGGGGGCTGGGGAGGCAGGTCCCGCTCAGGTGGCATGTGGGGAAGGGACACAAAGTCCTCTCAACAATGGACTAGCCGTGTGTTTCCTTCAGAGGAACAGGGGCCCTTCCAGAAAGGAGTACTCATTCCCCTCTCCTTCCTTCCCCCACAGATGTGCACTCCTGCCAACACCCCTGCCACGCCCCCCAACTTCCCCGATGCTCTCACCATGTTCTCCCGTCTCAAGGCCTCCGAGAGCTTCCACAGTGGTGGCAGCGGGAGCCCGATGGCTGCGACAGCCACGTCTCCCCCACCGCACTTCCCTCATGCCACCACCGGCAGCTTTGCAGCACCCGGCTGGCCAGCAGCAGCCTCGCCCCCGGGGGACCCACAGCACCACCAGCCACAGCCACCCCTGTGGACTCCAGCGCCCCCTTCTCCGGCTTCAGACTGGCCACCCCTGACCCCCCAACAGGCCGCCTCAGAACCAAGAGCCCACCCTGCCATGGAGGCAGAGAGATAAGGGAGGCCCCTCCCCCCTCCCGGAGGCCAGGGCCCTGTGGGGCGGGGGAGAGGATGTCTCCGCGGGTCGCTTCACCCCTTCTCTGTCTGCAATCCCATTCCCTGGAGCCCCGGAGGGGAGAGTGTGGACTCTAGCCAGGCAGGGACACATCTCACGCCAGCACACCAGGTGCTCGCACACATGTTCATGGAAGCAAGGCACAGCCCTCACCGCGTGGATGTGGTTCAGCATGTTTCGGGTGCCTGGTGGACAGAACTTCAAGAGCAAACAGCCTTCCTGCGAGTACTCACCCACCCTAGCCTGGGGGTGCTGTGGAGAATGGCCCAATGGGGACGCTGCTGGCTCCCAGCTCAGAGCTTCTTGGGGCCACGGGCCTCGCTCCTCCCTCGGGAATGCAGAGCCTTCTCCGCATGTGTGCGTGTCGCCGTGTCTGTGTATTTATATGTATGTTCTCTTCAAGAAGCAACCTAGTTTATGGGGCAGCTGGACTTTGCATGTTAGAGTGAGCCCCAAGCTCCTTGGCCGCCGCCCTCTCCCCACTGCCCTGCCTCCCCTCCCCTCCTCAGCAGCATTGTTGTTCCTTGCAGAGAAAAGGATCATGGGAAACTCCAGGACTCTTCCCATCCATCCCCCAGCCTGCCTGCTGGGGCTGCCTGCATGCCTCCCCCAGAGCCCAGGGTACCTGGGATCCATTTCCTTTCCCTCTTTTAATGAAAGAGAAGAAAACCTCCAAACCACCGCTAGACTCTGTGGTCTTGCCTTGTGTCCTAGGCTTTTCTGCCCACTGGCTCCATGGGGGCTGCCCAGAGCACAGGGCCACCCCCGTCTCCTGGGCTCCTCACTGCCGCTGCCTGTTGCTCTTTTTAGCCACAACATGCTCTGGTCTCCCGCCCATCCGAGGCTTTTTCCCATGAAGTTAAGTTCCTGGCCTGTGTTCCCAGAATCCCACTCTTTCCGCCCACCCCTCCCCCTGCTCAACTAGGCAGATCCTGACCCCAGTTACGAGCAGTCAGGGCTGACAACTGCCTTCCGTCTTCCCAGGCTTCACGTCAGGACCTTTCTTCTCCTATGGCTGGACTCTCAGCCCAGCCTCCAGCAGACACTGGGTGGGGCAGGGCCTGTCCAGATGGCAGGCTGGGAAGCAGACCCAGGACTAGCTAGGGTGGAGGACAAGACCAGGGCAGAGTGCTGCCTGGCAACCAGGTTGGTAGGTGATGGGTCCTGAGCTGCTCCCTGAGCCTGGTTGGAGCAGGCGCCTGCCAGGGCCACCCACAATGAGCTGGGGCAGCTTCGGGAGGTCATGTTTTCAGTCTCACGCCCCTCTGGAGTTAGGCCAGAAGGGAGGCTGGGGCCTCCCACAGAGCTCAGCTCAAACTCCCTAATCTAGGACAGTGCCAGCCTTCATTCAGTTGGTGCCTGGGTGCGAGGGTTCCTCCCGTTTCAGAAGGTCCTGTGCCTGCTTGGCATCCCGGCACTGCTTGGCATCCCGGCACTGCCTGCCCACTGCTTCCACTCCCAGGGCTGCACGGTGCTTTCTGGGTAAAGATGCCCTGTGCTCTTGCTGTGCCAGTACCTGGCATCCTCTTCCCTGCTGGAGTCTGCACAGGCTTGTTGACGAAGCCCACCTGCATGGCTGTGCACTGACTAGATGTCACTGAGAACTGACTGCTAGACCCCCACTTGAACTGCTGCCTATGACCTGGGAATGTGTCCACCTGGAAACACACCTTTCCAGGGGTGCCCATGTCACAGGAGAGGCAGGAAAGGGAGGGCATCAGCCTCTTGGGTCTTCACTCAGCAGCTTCTCCTTTCTTTGGGATGTTAGAAATTCTCAGGAAACTGCTACGCCCACCTTCCAAGGCCCAGACCTTGTCCTCTACCCTAGCTGGTCCTGGGTCTGCTTCCAAACCTAGCATCTGCAGTGGGAAAAGTGCTTTGCAGGGTGGTATTTGGGGTAATCGTGTGAGTTGAGTGTCTAGGCTCCCAGTGGGCAGGTGGCTGGGGTGGCTGCAGCTATTGGCCACACAAAAGGGAGTGCATGGTCTAGGATTCTGCACAGTGGGAGACTAGGGAGTGCCCGTTAATATCTTCAACACTCATTGGATCCCTGGGGTGCCTGACACGGACCACACCCTTGTTATTCAAAGTGTGGGTCCCCAACTAGCAGCAGCACCCGAGAGCTTGTTAGATTCAGGACCACAGGCCCCAGCCCAGGCTCCCAAGTCCAAATATGACTCTAGCAGGAGCCCCTAGTACCAGATGGACATCAGAGCTTAGAACGGGTCCCTCATAGCATCTTTGCTAAGTACCGGGGCTAAGGATGTCCATTTCTGTTTCTGGGGCCACTGTGGCTAGGCCTAGAGGTCCCAGGTGGTCACATTAAGGGAGGTGCGGACTTGAGGTTCCTGCAGATCCAGCTTTTTGAACATGGGTGTTGTTGACATTGGGGCTGAATCTGTTGGCAAAGAGAGCTGTCCTGTGTGCGTTGTGTGCTGCTGAACAGTATCCCTGGATCTTACCCACTGAATCCAGTAACAGCCCCCAGTTGTGACAAAGATGTCTTCATACAGTGCTCATGTCCCCTGAGGGCACAGCATGGCTTCCTGGGAGTAAAAAATGGTAAATCACAGGTCCCTGGGCCTCACCACATCAGAATCTCTGGAGAGACCGACCCCTACCCTGGTGGGTCAGATGGTAGTGGTCGGTTTGTGACTATCCTGAAGGACACTCCATGGTGCAGTTTAGAAAAGTGAATTTGGTGGTGTCAGTTGTACCTCAAAACTCTTAATTGAACTGAAACGGCTCCCTGATGATTTTGATGTGACCACTCAGCACATCCCCCCATGGTGACTGGGAGCCACCAGGCTCATGGTCCCCAGACTGACAGAGTGTAAGTCTGTGGGGACTGGCCTCTCCCTTGAGGTAGCTGGAGGAGGATTCCAGAATCTGAATTTTAGTAGGTGCCCCAGACATGGTGGGAACCTCTGGAGCCTTTGCGGGTGAGGCCAGGGCAGGGGCTGGCAACACAAGTGTTTTCCAGCAGATGCAGAAACCATGCCTGTGGGCTCAGAGCTCCTGGTCTGGGAGTGTCTCAAGGACCAGGGAAAGGCTGCAGTGTGTGCTGGGACTAACAAGGAAGGCCAAAATGGGCCCACAAAGATGCCATGTGCTCTAGAACCCGGTGGGACTAAGAACCTGGAACCTTCCACGACTGATCTAATCCCAGATGCCCAAAAGCAAAACTAAAGGAGCTGGGATGACCTACTCCGTGTTCAAGTGTAAACCAGATGAAAAGCCAAGGTGCTGATGTTCAAGTGTAAACCAGATGAAAAGCCAAGGTGCTGATGTTCTAACGGGACAGACTCAGGTATATGGCCCCTTCCCAGCTCCTCCTGGGAGCTGCCTAAGCCACACCCAGGAAAACTAGCCTTGTCCTTCAAGTTCAGCCTTGCCTGGGCTGGGTCATCCCCACTCATCTGCCAGACTTCTGTTTCCAAGATACTGTTCGCATCCACAAGGTTGCTCGTAAGCATGTGCTCAGAGCTCTGCGTGTCTGAGTCCTAAAGAGGACACCACAGCTCCCGGGAATGAGGCCTGGCCTTGCCAAGTGACAGCTGGCAGATGCACCTTCTGGTCTGCTGCTGGGGGTGGACATTCTCTTAGGTGTTTGCAAACCCACAGGTCCTGATGTGTGTGTGTGGCTTGCACACTGTTTCACTTTCAAAAAATGTTTGCCAACATTTTAAATCAGGAAGGTTTCTGTGAAAAGCCTCACTTCTGACTTACCTTGGAAAACTGGAATACTTGGCCCTAATTCCCTCAAGGCCACAACTGGCTGAAGCTGGCCGTCATGCCGGGGACACCGCCTGCCTATCCCTGTCCCCCCCCCCACCTCTACTGGCTGCCACAGACGTGGGAGTCCAGCCCCTGCCTCCGAATCGGCTGGAGTCCCCGAGGGGCTCTTGCGTTCCACCACAAGCAGCCTTGGGAGGAAAGACCTGCTCAGTGGGGTGGAGGACCTGGCAGATGGGCAGCAGTGGGCTACTCCTGCAGCCAACTTTAAAAAGAGTCGAGTTTGTTCTTTCTGCTGCTCTTGGACCAGCGGGATGCTCCAAGGGCCACTGAGCATCCCCAGGGTCTGTCCAGTGGTCCAGCCAGGGTTCTCTGGGAACACTGTGGCCAGCCACAGAGAAGCAGGCTGTCCCTGAGGCTGGCTGCAGTGCTGGCCCCCAAACACTGGGGCGGGACAGCCATGCCTGGAGGCCTCTGAGGGGCTTTTCAGAGCGGTCCCCTCACAGAGGATAGATGAGTCCTTTGAATCAAGTCTACTCCAGGGTGTGAGGGAGGCCTTCTGGGCTGGCCAAAGTGGAGACCTTTTGAAGCAAGGCTATTTCTAGTTCCTGCATGTGAAAAGGTTGTTGGGTTTTTTGGCCACAGCTTGTACTTGGACAATGTATGTATTTCAAATGAGCCTTAAAAGAACACAGCTCTTTTGGGGAGGGCAGGCGTTGGAGGACCCCTTCCAGGGTGATCGAGGTCTTGTCCATGACAGCACGAGCCTCAGAGGAGGCTGTTAGCAATATCCTGCTCTACTTTCTGGGGCTGTTTCTAATCTCCTGGGAGCAACAGAGCTGCAGATCCTGGTGAGGCCACGTGTGTAGGGAGAAAGTGGGTGTGAGGAGAAAGGCTTTCTTGGGCGGTTATGGGGATGTTGGGAGGGTCTCTAATGAGAACCCCCAATTCCATGGAGAGTCAGAGGTCAAGCCAGCCAAGATGGTGGTGACAGGGCCGGCGTGTGGTGATTCCCATGTCCCTGAGACCCTGCACAGAAGGCCCTTCCCACGATGCCTGTCTGTCTTCAGCTGTCTACCTTCGGGTTTGGGGTGCCTTTTTCAATGAGATTGTCTTGCTTGGAACACATTCAGTTGTTTATACCTTGGGGTTAATGAGTTAGTGGTCTTTGAAGAGGAGAAAATGTTCAGATTCCTTTTACTTGCTGCAATGGATTATGGGACTGAGCCCAGTATAGGGTGGTTGCCATGCAGCATGGCCTCCATTCAGGCAGCACCTTGAGAGGGACCCTCTGCTCAGCACGAGGCCTCTACCCGCTTCTTCCCCTGCCCATTCCTGCAGCCCCTTGCACCCCCTCCCCACATGACCGATCCATCTCAGGAGGGCTGATCACCCCACTCCCTGTCCAGCCTGACCTTGCCGTGGTATCCTCATAGAGGAGGTTGGGCCCAGGCCTTCCGGAATCCCCACTCTGCTGACACAGCTGGTTCAGCTGCTTCTGTCCACACCCCAATGCCCCCTCCCTGCTTCAAGACCTGCAGGCCCCAACCCTCATGCTGAGATGGAGGGGTGGCTTCTGCCTGCAGCCCACCTGGGACCAGGCCAAAGACCAGCTCCCCCACCCCTCTCACCACGACCCGTGGACAGGACTGTCTTTGGGATTGCTCCCAGCTGTCCCGTGGACTGAAGTACTCACCTTCCAAAGCACCCAAGAGGCCTGTTAGAATGCAGACCAGACCCACCCGGGCCCTCACTCCCAGAAACAAACTCAGGCACTGGCTTGAACCCCTGAGACGTGCTTTGGAGGAGCCAAATGGGGACAGATATGAGGGCTGTGAGGGAGAGTGGGGCCCAGCTGTGAGGAACAGGGATCACCTAGGTGCCGCCTGTCCACCATGACCTGGCATGGGTGTCCCCCAGGAGTCCCCACCTCCAGTTTAGCACATCCCCAAAGTGGGAGAGGGGCTGGAAGTCGGGCCTCTGGTATTCGCAGGGCCCAGCAGGTTAGGCCTCCCAGCAGGGGCCGGGGAGCTGGGCCTCTGCTCTGTGACCCTAGGCCTGTTGAGCCTCCACTCCTGCCCCCTCGCCTGGAGGGATGACCAGAGGAGGGACCAGCAGGTCCCACCTGCCCAGACAGAGCACAGCGAGACAGTCCCCTCAGCCATGATCAGAAAAGTGGAAGATCTTATTCTGGGCAGAAGTTACCAAAAACATTCGTCTGTGATACGGGGGTGGGGTGGGCAGGGGTGCCCCAACAGTGTGCACAGGCACCCTGGACGGTTAAGTCCCCTGGGTCAGGAGGAGCTTGGCTCAGCCTTGAAGAAGGACAAGAGCAGTCAGGGTTTGGAGTCGCAGGAGCTGAGCAAGGGGTCATGGGGCCATTCAGGAATAGGGCAGGCGTGTGCGTCCCTGGACTCCAACAGCCAAGCCCCCAGACAGTACTCTCCCCCCGGGCAGCCAGAGGAAAGCAAATAAGAACCTCTCTCCAGCTCCCCCTTGGGCAGCTCCCCGCATCCCCCAACTGCCTGATACCATCCCAGGGACCCGGTGGACGCTGGGGCAGAGGGCAGTGGGAGATCAGGGTCACGCTTCGTCCCTGTGTGTGGGGACATCGTTTTAGTTTCTGAAATGGAATAGCACTGTCAGTAGTGCAGGAAGAGGGCAAAACTGGATGGAGTCGGGTGGGAAAGGGAAGGGGGGCGGGTCGTAAGGGCGGCAGGGAGGGGCAAATCGTCAGAAGGGAACGGAAGCAAGCCAGGAGGTCCCGGCCAGACGAGGTGGCCCCGGCGAGGCCTCTGCTCTGTGCCAAGGCTGGCCACTACCTTGCCGCAGCAAGATGCTCTTGTCCCACCAAACGCATGGGCAGTGAGCACAGGAGCCAGAAAGACCCACAGGTGAGCAGCCACCAGCCTGGGAGGGACAGAGTAGCCCTGGAGTACTCCAGGGCATCACACCAGCTCCTGGTGGGTTAGCCAAGAAGAAGTAAACAATCAAATCTTGTAAAAACTCCAGTTCACAACAGTAATTACTGGTAGAAACAGCACGAGATAAAAAAGGATGCACACAGTAAAATCTGGTTCCCGAGAGCAAGTTGGTCTTAGTAGAAATAATGGCCCCCAATAAAATGTACAGTGGTGGTAGCTGTAATTACAACTGATTGTGATGAAATTGTTTCAGAAAATAAAAGGCAATGTGTTTTTAAATCCACTCTGTGTTGCACTGAACATTGGTGAAGGAATGAAATTGGCTTGATGGAAAATTCACTCTAGAAAGCTATGCTGACATGGAAATGTGGAATGAGGCTGGACACAGTGGCTCACACCTGTAATCCTAGCACTTTGGGAGGCCGAGGCAGGAGGATTGCTTGAGCCCAGGAGTTTGAGACCAGCCTGGGCAACCTAGCGAGACCCTTTCTCTACAGAAAAAAAAAAAAAATGGGCCGGGTATAGTGGTGTGCACCTGTTCTCAGCTACTTGGGAAGCTGAGGCGGGAGGATTACTTAAGCCTAGGGGATGGAGGCTGCAGTGAGCCAAGATTGCACTGCTGCATTCCAGCCTGGGTGCCAGAGTGAGACCCTGACTCACAAAAAGGTAGAATAAGGATTGTGTTGTTTGTATTTATACACATAGAGTTAAAACAGCCACTGGGTCAACATGGGGTGTCTCATATGCAGACCCCTCCCCTATGTCCAGGGCATCCTTTCCTGGGCCAGACTCAGGGCCCCGGGTCTCAGCCAGGGGACTAGAGGGGACCTGATAGCAATGAGACACAGGGTGTTGGAGCTCACGGGTTGGCGGGCTCCTTGGGGGGCTGCATGCTGGCTTGGAACTCGAGGCGCAGAGATCTTGAGGACCTGGTGGGCCCTGGGGCCTGCTGGGGGTCTCCTGGGGGTGAGACCAGTGACGGCAGCAGCGGTAGAGGCAGTAGGGAAGGTGGCCGGGCTGGCATCATCAGGTGGGGGCCGGAAACAGCTGAGCGGGCGCTGGTCCGGGGGCCCGGGGCTGGGAAGGGCAGGAGAAACCCCAGATGTGTCCCAAGAACCTTCCTGGGGTCATCCCCACTAAGAAGAGCAGTCCAGGACCGGAAGAGCTTCACAGACCACAGTAGGCTAGATGTCACTTGGTCCCTGGCGTTCTAAACTTCCCAGGGGTGACCCAAGACAAATGACATGGGACATGTTTGCTGAAGTGGTGTGGATCGCCCAGGAGAGAACCTGGGGCTGGAGTTTGCAGATCTGGGCTCTGGTCCCAGCTCACCAGCTCTGTGGCCTTGAGCCACAGCTCCATGTTACTGAGCCTCAGCACTCTCTTCCTTGAAATGGGCTAACAGGACCTACCTTACAGGAGTTGGGATGTGGATCACAGGAGACAAGGGGGAAAGTGCTTTGTAAACTGCAAGGTCTCCCCAATGCCTGGCACATGGCGATATGAGCCGGAGGGGCTCGGTTTCCTCCCAACCTGCCTCAAGGGCCCCCCGAAGAGCCCCGAGGCAACAGGCAGGATCCTTCGTCCCACCCTGCAGCTGGGTGGTGGACATCTGGAGACGGATGTGCCGAGCCCTGGAATGGCCTCGAGGTCAGGAAGCTCCTCCAAAGGGGACCCAGAACAGCTGGCGGGCCTGTGGCCCCCAATTCCAAGTTCAGGGAACAGTGTGCTGGGTTGGGGCTCCCCTCAAGGGTTTTCGGGGCTTTGGTGCCATGGACTGGAGACAGCCAGTGTGCAGGCACAGCGGGCAAGAGGTAGATGAGCAAACTGGAGAGCCCAGGTGGGTGGTGAGGAAATGGAATGAGACTAGGAGGGACCAGAGACCCTGCCAGAAGCCCAGATGGGCCGGGGTTGGGGTCAGGTACTCACGGGGACAGATGGCACCAAACAGGGCACTGGAGCGCGTGCAGTCATACAGCCTTCGCGACGGGGGTCGAGGAGCCTTCACAGCTGAGCAGGAAAGCAAAAGGAAAAGGGCGTGAGTATGGCCCTTCCAGAGCACCAAGTTCCCCCCCACCCAGCCCTGGCCTGCCCTCGGGCCCCGTGTCAGGCTGATCCTAACACAGGCCAGGCTTCTTCTGTGGGACCAGACCTGTTTCCCAGACCCACCTTCTCCACACACTCAACCTAGCCCACCTCCCTATGGAAGAATGTTCCTCCCTCCTTGCCTTCTTGAGTCTAGAGCTTTGCAAGGCCAAGATAGAAGACTTTTTGAAATGAACTCCAGCTGGGCGCAGTGGTTCCCATCTGTAATCCCATCACTTTGGGAGGCTGAGGCAGGAGGACTGCTTGAGCCCAGAGGTTTGAGACCAGCCTGGGCAACATCGTGAGACCTCAACTCTACAAAAATTTTAAAAAATCAGCCTGGTGTGATGGCTCACAACTGTAGTCCCAGTTTTTCAGGAGGCTGAGGCAGAAGGGTCGCCTGAGCCCAGGAGGTTGAGGCTGCAGTGAGCCATGATTGTGCCACTGCACTCCAGCCTGGGCAACAGAGTGAGACTCTAATTAAAAAAAAAGGAGGGGGGGAGGCGGGGGGTAACTCCAGGCCAGATAGAACTATTTACAGTTTAAATGTCTGGCAGTTCTTTAGATATTCCTGTTGGGGATCAGACCACCAAAATGCCCCCACTGCTGTTCTTTATCTTTTTGGATTTTTTCATTCTTTTTAAATAATAGAGACAGGGTATCACTATGTTGCCCAGGCTGGACTCAAATTCCTGGACTCAGGTGATCCTCCTGCCTTAGCCTCCTGAATAGCTGGGACTACAGATGTACACCACCCCACCCAGCTGCTTGTGAATTTTTTTTTTTTTTTTTTTTTGAGTCAGGGTCTCACTCTCACTCCTAGGCTGGAGAGCTTTAGCATGATCATGGCTCATGGCAGCCTCAACCTCCTGGGCTCAGGCAATCCTTTACTCTCAGCTGGGACTACAGACGTGTGCCACTATGGCTGGCAAATTTGGGATTTGGGGGGGGTATAGACTAGGTCTCACTATGTTGCCCTGGCTTGTCACCTGGGCTCAAGTGATCCTCCTGCCTTGGCCTCCCAAAGTGCTGGGATTACAGGTATGAGCCACTGCACCTGGCCTCCAGCTTCTTTTGCATTTTTTTTTAGAAAGTAGGATTTATTAAGAAGACAGAAAAGCTCCCACAGTGGGAGGGGACCTGAAAGGGGTTGCCCGTTCTTTTACGTTTTTTGAGGTAAACTTCATGTAACATAAAATTGAAGTGTACAATTCAGAGGTGTTTAGTACACTCACAGTGAGGTGCACCATCTCCATCTAGCATCTCTTTCACCTCTTAAGGAGCCCTGTCCCCATTAAGCAGTCCCTCCGCCCTACCCACTCCTAGCTCCCGGCAACCACGAGTTTTCTTCCTGTCTTGATAGATTCACCTAATCTGGACGTTTTCTAGAAGTAGAGTCAGTCAATGTGAGGCCTTTGGGTCAGCTCATGCTTCACTCTCAAACCCAAAGCCTCCTCTTCTCCCTGCCTAGTCAAGAACCAGCCTGACCCCAACAGATCACCCGTCCTCATCCCTGGAGCCTGGGAGGCCTTCCACTGCAAAGGGAGCTTTGATCAAGGTAAGAATCTGGAGCGGAGAAGCATCCTGGATCACCAGGTGGGCCCAAGTGTGATCACAAGGGTCCCTAACAAGAGGCAGGCAGGAGGGTCAAAGTTAGAGAAGGCGTGACAATGGACGCAGAGGCCTGACTGGCGCTAAAGCGTTGAAGGAGGCAGGAGCCACGAGCCACCGAAGGCAGGCAGCCTCTAGAAGCTGGACAGGGAAGGAAATGGACTCCTGGGAGCCTCCCAAAGGAGCATGCCCTGCCAACACCTGACTTTAACACAGTGAGTCTGATTTGAGACTTCTGGTCTCCAGAACACATGAACATAATATATTCATGTCGCTTTGAGCCACTTGGCTGTGGCGATGTTACAGCAGCCATAGGAAATGACACAGATGGGTTCTGATCTGGGGAAGGGCCTGCTAGGGGGCCCTGGTGGGGCGTGTGTGGGAGCAGCTCCCTCAGAACTGCTGAGGCCTGGGAGCCTGGTCGGGCATCACTGGCTCTCTCGCTCCTCCCTCCTGCCGCTGCAGCCCTGATCCTTCCACTGGAGTCTCCCCGGCTACCTCCTCCTACCTGAGTCCTGCCTGCACTTGGCCTTCCTCCCACAGAGCCTTCTCTGCAAGCCCAGCCTCTGAGTACTGGGCTTGGCATATTCACCCTCCTGCCAGCGCACCACTCCCTGGGGCTTGGCTGTTCCCTCTGTGCCGGCCTGAACTCCTGACTATGGTGGCGGTGTCTGAGGCCACAGGCTGGTCGGATGGCTCTTGGTGGTCCCCATGAGGCTGGCTATGGGCTGGGTGCATGGCAGGAGCCCAGTGGACACAGTAGGATGAATCCGGGACTAGGCTGGAGCTGGGTAGGGTTCACCTTGGCTAGTTTGGGGTTTAGATATTGAGTCTGTTTTTCATTAGAATGTTCTTTCAGGTAAATAAATGAGCAATAACAGTAAACTAATCAAGATATGGCCACAGCCAGGCTTCCAGGTGGTTTCTAACACAAACGGTCCCCAACTTATGATTGTTTGATAGGGTTTCTTGACTTTATAATGCTCTGCCACAGTTCAACATATTGTACAGTATTCGAAAAATTACATAACCTGGGCACAGTGGCTTACCCCTACAATCCTAGCACTTTGGAAGGTGGAGGCGAGAAGATTGCCTGAACCCAGGGATTTGAAACCAGTCAGGACAACTTGGCGAGATCTCATCTCTATAATAAGTCAAAAAGTGGTCAGGCATGGTGGCACATGCCTATGGTCCCAGCTACTTGGAAGGCTGGGGCAGAAGTATAGCCTAAGCCAAGCAGGTTGAGGCTGCAATAGCTGTGCGCATGCCACTGCACTCCAGCCTGAGTGACAGAGTGAGACTCCAAATTAAAAAGATAGATAGATAGATAGATAGATAGATATGATATTCAACACTTTATTATAAAATAGGCATTGTGGCCGGGCACAGTGACTGAGGTGAGAAGATTGCCTGAGCCCAGGTGTTCAAGACTAGCCTGGGCAACTTGGTGAGACCTCATCTCTACAATAAATCAAGAGTAATTATAATTAGCTGGGCATGGTGGCGCACGCCTGTAGTTCCAGTTACTTGGAAGGCTGAGGTGAAGAATCACCTGAACCCACCAGGCTGAGGCTGCCGTGGCTGTGAGTGTGCCATTGCACTCCAGCCTGGGCAACAGAGTGAGACTCCAACTAAAAAAATAAAATAAAATAGGCTTTGTATTAGCTGACTTTGCTCTACTGTCAGCTAATGTAAGTGTTCTGAGCATGTCTAAGGGCTGCGAGGCTAAGCTATGGAATTCAGTAGGTGAGGTATATAAAATGCATTTTCGACTTAGGGTATTTTCAACTTAGGGGTTTATCAGAACACAACCCCATTGCTAGTTGAGGAGCATCTTATAGTTGGGCTTTGTCACCCCCAAGAAAGATAAAGCAGTAGAGATCATCAGAATTCAAGTCATGGCTTGCTACGGGTCCTGGGAATGAATGAGCCATTGGGTGAAAGGCTCCTCCCTTGGGGTGACAGCCCTGGGGAGGTCGATAGATGAGCAGTGACAGGGGCAAGTATGTAAGATGGTGGACTCCATCCGTCCTGGCCCCCTACTCAGGGTGCCTTCCTGGCAAGCAGACCTCGCCTGCTCCTTTATGAAATGCCTCACCAAGTTGTTATAGAGCGAAGGGGCAGGGGACAGAGTCTGGCACAAAGTCGGAGTTCATTAAATATTAGCCACCGCTGTCGTTACCTTGCTTGGTGATCCCTGAAGCCCAGCCCGAGTCCCTCCCAGCAGCTCCCAGGCAGGGAGGCCTGGGACAGTCAAGCTTCTCCAGGAGAAGCCGCATACTTCCTGGGGAGAATGCGGGGTTCCAGATGGTGTCCTGCCCTCCCAGAAACAGGGTAGGGACCTGAACTGGATTGAATAGCGATCCCCAAAATGATAAGTCCCCTAGAACCTGTGAATGTGACCTTACTTAAAGAAAGGGTCTTCGCAGGTGTAATTAAGGATCTTGAGGTCGGGCATGGTGGCTCACACCTATAATCCCAACACTTTGGGAGGCCAAGGCTGGAGGATCTCTTGAGCCCAAGAGTTCGCGACTAATGTAGGCAATATAGTGAGACCTCATCTCTCCAAAAAGAAATAAATAAATAAGCCAGGTGTGGTGGTGCACACCTGTAGTTCCAGCTACTTGGGAGACTAAAGCAGAAGGATTATCTGAGCCCAGGAAGTCGAGATGGAGGTGAGCCTGATTGTGCCACTGCACTCCAGCTAGGTGACAGAGTGAGAACATGACTCAAAAAAAAAAAAAAGATCTTGAGATGAGGTCATCCTGGGTCCAGTTGAGCCCTAAATCCAAAGACAAATATCCTTATAAGAGACAGAAGAGAAGACGTGATGGCAGATGCAGAGGTTGGAGTGATGTGGCCCCAAGCCACGGAACACCAGCAGCCGCTGCCAGAAGCCAGAAGTGGCAAGAAGGCACCGTCCCCTAGAGCCCTTGGAGCCTCCTGGCTAATTGCTTGCCACCCGCTACTGTGGAGACCATGGTGACAGCCATCTCGTTTGCTCTCCACTGTCTCCCAGGTGTCTGGCGATTGCTCCTCAGTCAGGGACACCAGCTCTGGGCCCTACCTGCAGCCTCTTGTCCTGCCCAACAGACCCAGGACCCCAGCAGGGGTGCCCCAGAGAGTCCTCACCTGTCAGCTCCTTCTCCATGGTGGTCAAGGGTTGAGCTCTGCTCTGGCTGTTCATTCGGCCCTTGTATAGGATTCCATCCACGCCCAAGATGTCCACCTCGGCCTGTTGGATGGCCCAGGTCCTGGTCAGGGAGCACCCCCTCCCTAGTGTTCAGAGGCCCAAAAGACAGCACCGCCTCCCCCGGGGTCACCCACCACTAGGGCCCAGTCCTATGCCTGGGGTATGCTGAAGTCCACCCTCTGGGAAGGAGACCCTGGCCAGACTCACGGTGTCATAGTCTATCACATGGGGGTCTCCGTACGGGTAGAGCGTCGAAAGGTTGCACAAATTGTGCTTGAGGTTGGCGTCGTTTTGGGGGCCGTCACCCCAGTCCTGCTGGGAGTCCATGCTCCCCTCTTGGGCTCCAAGGTCCTGGAGCTGCAGTCGCTGCTGTTCCCTGGAGCAGGGCGATGGGTCAGCAGCTCCCTGGAGACCCTCCGCCCCAGGGGAGCCCCCAGACAGCCCCAAGGGCCTGGCCAGCATCGAGGGAAGGCGGGTGTTCTCCCAGCGTGGGTTTAGGGTTCACAACCCGGCACGCCTGGGTTCTAACAAGTGGACACAGACATACACAGTGGGGCAGGGAACAGAACCGACACCTACCCAAGACCCAACCACACCTGGAGCCCTGGCCTGGCCTGCCAGGAGCATGCTCTCAACCTCTTGATCTTAAGGAGTCAGGTGAGGGAGAGTGGCGGTTGGCATGGTTCCCACAGCCCCCCTTTCACATAGCTGGGTTACTGTTCAGCTGTTCTTTCCTCGCCTGGCCAGATGTCCCTATGGCAGGGCTGGGTACTCCAAGGACCCGCAGAGCCGAGGGGTGTCAGAGGTGGAGGGTGGGGTTGGGTGCGATGGAACTTGGAGGGTTTGGACACCAGCCCTGCCACTTACTAGCCGTGACCTTGGGCAGGTCACTTAGGTTCTCTGAGCCTGTTTCTTCAACTGTGAAATGGGATGATAATAAAATAGGGAAGTCGTGAGGATTCACCAAGGCCAGGTAGGCCAAAGCGGTTGGCACAGTGCCTGCCGGGCTCAGCCAGGGCTTCCTGGGAGTCTTCTGCCACTACCCATGTCCTCCACCAGAAATGGGCATATGAATTCTAACTCGTGGGGGGTTGTGAGATTCAAATGAGAATCCCTCCTCCTAAAACCCTGAGCATTCCTTGGCCCACAACAGATGTCCAATAAACATGTCTGCTCCTCTCTCCCAGGGTCATCTCTGTGTCTGTCTGCTGCCCCAGCCACCCCGGAGCATCCTCCTTGTGGCTGGTTGGTAATGTCCTGGGCCATCTTCAGTTCCTAGGACTGGAGGATGTGTCGTGGCAGGGCTCCCAGGCTCCTCCAGGGTGGCCTCCATCAGTGCAGAGGGCAGCCTGCTCACCTCATCTGCTGCCGCTGCAAGTACTCATAGCTATTGGCGCTGGCCGGTCGCAGATGTGACAGCAGGTGGGCTTTGCGGATGGTGATCAGCTGTCTGTAGAAGGACAAGCGTGAGGCAGGGGCTGTAGGAAGGCCCGAGGCCTGAGGCCCCTAGAGGGCCAGGCTCCTACCCACGCCAAGAGGCCTTCCCAAAAGGAGGAAGGAGGTGCAGGCTAGGGTCGTCCACCCTCAAAGGCCAGACGTGTCCATAGCACGGGGCCACTGTGCAAGGGCTCTGCGAAACCTTGAAAACTGTCACAAGACACAACAAGCAATTGTTCTGATTATTAAAGTAAAAAGCAGAATGAGATAAATCCTAGAAATATGATGAAAATTGGAGGTCACAGCCGGGCTCGGTGGCTCAGCCTGTACTCCCGCGCCTTGGGAGGCTGAGGTGAGTGGATTGCCTGAGCCTGCGGGTTCGCGACCCGCCTGGGCAGCAAGACCTCATCTCTACAATAAATCAAAACATCAGCCGGGCGTGGTAGCGCGCGCCTGTAGTTCCAGCTACTTGGAAGGCTGAGGCGGAAGGATCGCCAGAGCCCAGCAGGTCGAGGCTGCGGTGGCTGGGAGTGACCACTGCACTCCCGTCTGGGTGACAGAGTGAGACTCCAACTCAAAAAAAAGAAAAGAAAACAAAGAAGCCGGGCTCGGTGGCTCAGCCTGTAATCCTGCACCTTTGGGAGGCTGAGGTGAGTGGATTGCATGAGCCCGCGGGTTCGAGACCCGTCTGGGCAACTTGGCAAGACCTCATCTTTACAATAAACCAAAAATTAGCTGGGTGTGGTAGCGTGCGCCTGTAGTTCCAGCTACTTGGAAGGCTGAGGCAGAAGGATTGCCGGAGCCCAGCAGGCGAGGCTGCGGTGACTGGGTGCGGCCACTGCACTCCAGTCTGAGAGACAGAGTGAGACTCCAACTCAAAAAAAAAAAAAAAAGAAAGAAAGAAAATTGTTGGTCACCAGAGGCTGGAGGAAGGGAGGATGGAGAGAAATTGCTGAGCAGGTCCTGGGCATCCTTTTGGGGGGATGAAAACGCCCTGACAGTGGAGAGAGGTGATGGCTTCACAGCACACAAAAGTGCTAAATGCCCCCAGTCACTCACTTTAAAGTGGTTAATTTTATGTCGTGTGTATTTTGCTTCAAAAAGAAATAAAGATAAACTGTAACAGCCTTTTTGGGGCATTGGAATCTTTTCTTTTTTTTTTTTTTTTGGAGTTGGGGTCTCACTCTGTCGCCCAGGTTGGAGTGCAGTGGCCGCTCCGGGCCACCGCAACATCAACCTGCTGGGCTCCGGCGATCCTTCCACCTCAACCTTCCAAGTAACTGGAACTACAGGCACGCGCTACCACTCCCGGCTGATTTTTTGATTTATTGTAGAAATGAGGTCTCGCTGCCCAGGCGGGTCTCGAACCCGCGAGCTCAAGCAATCTACTCACCTCAGCCACCCAAA